TTGAGACTCTAATTAAAACTATTTTGTTAAGATAAAAATATTTTACTAAACTAATGCATATATTAGATAATATACTAATTCTTTAAAAGCAGATTTACAATTAATTTATATTTTTTAACTAAAAGTAAAATATTTTCTTTCATGAACATATAAATATTTTACAATTATAGCCAAATAATGATCACACAATCAAGAAAAAATAAAAATAAATTTTAACTAATAAAAAAATATTTATATAAATATTATATATATATATGGTTAAAATAATTTTTATTATGTACTAACTAAAATTATAATAATAATAAGAGAATATACATGAAAACGGAATATGTTCGATCATTTAAATTTTATGAGGTTAATAAATAACGAATTAGAAATATAAAAATTTTATTCATTTTGTAGACTAGCGCTTATAAGTAATTAATAATGAATCTATCTATCTATCTTTCTTATGCACTTATGCAGTCAAATGGGTAAATACGTGTTTTTTTTTGTTGAAACCTTGTCTTTCATTTAAAGTTGTATCAGATGTTTTGGTCTCTCATTCAAGTGTTTATTTGGATTTTTTTCTATTCATCTAAAACAGTTAACTGGTATTTTTTGGTATTGGCGCAAAGTTAGTTACGAATACTTCCATTGTTAGTTTGTCCCAAGAGAAGGCATTGACATATGCAAGGTTGTTTGAATATGTTTTGTTAATGAAGTTTTAATTTTGTACTAGGTCAAATATGAATTGAAGAATCTTCATTTAAGCAAGGCAAATAAAAAATAATTAATAGAAAAATGGACAAAAAAGTGCTTTAAGGAAGATTTAACTTCCCATACATAAAAGACAAAATATTCTTGCTTTAACTGTTATAAATTTTCATATCATGCTCTTTACTTTGCAAAAAGATTTTAAAATTCAACGTTTAGACTTCATATTTCCATTAAAAATGATAATAAACAAACAATTTCCTACTATACAGTAAATATAAATTTGCCATATATCTAATTTTATGAACTTGAAACTTAAACACAAATAAGATACACATTCCAGGAGACATAAGTTCAGTATCAAGTTCAATTTCCAATTAAAAACACGTCACATATACAAAAATTTCAATACAAAAATTACCTTATATGGTATACTACAGGGTTAGGCGATTGAAATGTTACTTATTCAAGCTACCATATCCTTTTTGTGTCAAATTACTTTTTATTGATTTGAATTATAAAAATTTGTGCAAATAATCAAAGTTTTAGAATTCATTCATTCTAGGTCAAAGTGGCCACCTCCTGCCTTGACTATGGCCTCTTAACGGTTAAAAAATGAGTTGCATGCTACACGAATGTGATATTCCGGTATTTTGGCCCATTCCTGATTTTTAATCCTCACCTAGCTTTCCAAAATGGTCCAGATGAAATTATCCATCGCATTTGCATTTGACGAATTCGAAAGCCATTGTGTGGAGGAAATGAAGTATGGAACATAATTATTTAACTATCCTTGGTTCACACGAGCTTTATAAATGTTTGCGTGTCTACGGCTCTAAAACAACTTCCAAAACATTTTCCCGATAATAAGTACCAGTGACTTTGATAGCACTCTCGATGAAAACGATTGAACAGCGTTCATTGGCGATCACAGCTGCCCATACCATTACTTGAGATGAAAAAATATTTCGGGTGGCTATTCGTAATCACAAATTTTCGGCAGTGGGTTCAATTAAATAGACATGATCATTTTGAGAGTTTATGCACTGCTCAATTGGGAAATTTGTCTCATCAGAGAACACAATCTTTCGAAATTCAACACGTTCGTGCAATCGTAATGAACGTTACTCCTTTGCTCTTTCGAGTCTAACTTTTTGTTGCTTTGGTGTAAGATCTTATACGATTTGGAACTTGTAAGACTTTACCTTGAGCCCATTTTGGAATATGCGTCGGATGTTTCGCTGGGATATTTTCAGTTCTTTGGCCACTAAGACGTGGATTTCGTTTAAATCGATCCTCCATTTTCCGAACCATTTTAGGTGATGTTGCTGTTTTTTTTTTTAATCCACCGCCATAGCGTTTGGTGACGCTGCCTGTACTATTGTAACGATTTATGGTAACATACGATACACAAACATTTTATTTACTTTGAGGTTTTTGAGCTCACGGACAACAGCAGTTTGTGATTTTTCAGCCAAATTTAACGCAATCACACTATTACGTTTGAATTCCATTTCGAATAACTTCTGTTCTATAAAATTTAGACGCAAATGCTTATGGTACTTATAGACAATATGAACAGTTGTCATTCGTACGAATTTCACGTAGTTGGCAATATCAGGTCACAGATATACTTGTGTGTAGTTGGTAACACTTCACTCGCCTAATCCTGTATATAGAAGTTTTACAGAACCGTACCGTTCTCTGAGGGCCAATCTTTTTCAACCCATACTCCACATTGAAAACTTCAGTTGGTACAGTTGGTAATATTGCATTTTTAATCATCAATTATTCAATTTTAAGAACTCACAGTATTAATAGAAATAAACAACTCTTCTCATCAATATCTTGTTAGTCTCCTAAATATGCTGGTTCCGAAGGGTCATTATTTCACATTTATATTAAAAGTATTTTATTTCATACACATATCAATAATAATTTAACTATATATAAATAGAACCAATTTGTTATTTTATTACTGTGTTTGTTTTACGTTGAATATACTATGGACAATGATAAATCTGACAAAAGTGAATCAAATTCTTTTTTGCTTCCTGACAGCTGGCGATGTATTTAAGGAAACATTTAGTTTAATAATATAGCTTATTAACCGTTAGTGATATGGTAGCAAACATACTTTAAGACAAATGTGTGAAGTATGTCTCAATGAACATCTCAATGAAATTGGTAGATTTATTTCTATATTAGAAGATGCAAACTGCAATCACTATAAAGTCGACTTTATTATTGCTATAATTTAATAGATATAGTTGTGTAGTACTTTGTTAGGCAATAATATAAGTAGTTCTTTAGATCATAACATGAAATCCGTTAGTTATGGTGCTGTTCGTTAAGTTGATATAATAATGAAACTAGTCCCAAATAAAACCTATATATATACTATATTAATTATATAGTAAATTATATATAGTATATCAAAAAATAGTAAAATATTATATAGCGAATATATTTCTACTTGATTTAATATTACAATGTAATAATTTCAAAGATTTAAAAAAAATTTAATATGAATACATTTTATGTATTCCTAATATTATGAGCGTATTTTTAGAATAACAGTACTCTTTCAAGCTTTAATATAGTATTTTCAACATGGAGCTTGGTCCTAAAGCTGGTGTTAAATATTTTTATGAAATAATAAAATATAAATAATATTACAAAAATACACACCAAGAGAGTTGCCACGAGAAAAAGTATAATAGAATAAAAAGTAAACAAATATAAAAACAAAGAAAATAAAAACGGAGAAGAAATTTATAGACGAAAGAGTGCCAAAGTATATAGAGTGTAACCAAGCGGGAGATACATTAAACCCTACTACCAATCATATGTGATGTTAACTTGGTTAAAAAGCACTCAATTATATACATTGACTAAAAACTTTTACGGAGAGTAAAAGCTTGAGAGCGGGTACTCAGTACTAACACAAAACTCAGTCAAGCAAATCATACAGCTTCAAAGTTAAAAAAAAAATATACTTAAAACAACAACAATAAAACCAATAACAATGCAATAACCCAAACAATCTTAACAAAAAACTTATGGTATGTGTATCTAATGGTGTGACTATATTTATCATCTATTTGGCGTGCTTCTGTAGTTGTGCGGTTTGGTGCTCTAAGCGAGGAAACCATCAAGGAAAACCCCATTCGATTTTGTGAGTTCCATTCAATTTCATTAGTACTTGCGGTGCTGCTGTTACTGCTGTTATGGTAAATAAGTTTATGTTGGTCGTTGGTAAATATCAGGTTGGTATTTCGAAATGTCTAAAAAGCTCAACAATGTAGCGGTCATAAAATGTGCACTTTGTTGCTTCAGTCGTAGTTTTTTGTTACTAGTTTTTTTTATTTATTCACATTTTGTTTCGCTGTTAGCGATGCACTTTGGTTTGGAATTTTAGTTGAAGAAAATATTGAAGAAGGAATGCTCGCCTTGCCAACTTGCTTGCTTGCTTGGCAGTACAAACCCTAAAATGTTGGTGCGGTTGTTGCATTTGTTTTAAGACGATTGCTTGAATTTAGGTCAAGATAGTTAAGTGGATTTTTTTTAAATGTTTTTGTTGATAGAGTTGGAAAACTTTAAATTGACTAGAAAATTTTGTAAGCTATAAATTATAGGTTACAAATTTTTTTTTTGGATTTTGTTTCTCTAGAATTATTTGTGTGAGTACGTTGTTGAGGAATTGCGTTTGCTGTAGTCGCTTACATATAGTGGTGACTTAGTATCTAGGCCGTCACAAATGGTAGATTTAGTTTTTTAACATGTGCAAGTTCTGTTAGGCGACTAAACTAAACTTCCGTTTCCTTTCAAAATCATCTTCTGATCTAACATAATAATCAATGTACCTTAAATTTAATTTTATAATAAAAATTGAATTCCCAGCATAAAGGGTATTTAGAAAAAAGGTATTTACTTTGAACTTTTTTCTCCATAAATAAATCGTCAGAAAGGCATTTGATTCGATACCCGTTGGTTGAAAGCGAGGTAGAAAACGCCCTTATTGTTGGTGGAAGAACCAGGTGGCCAATGATATAAAGATACTTAATATTACCAACAGGCGACAACAAACAAGTTATCGGTCTGGTAGGAGGAGGCTACCGAAAGCAGCCAAGGCCGACTCACGTCTATAATCGCCTACTAGGTAAGTAAGTAAGTGTGTTCTATAGCTTTTGGTCCATTATGTTTACCAAAAATTGAAACTTAGCACAAATAGATTAATTACTTTTATATGGTATTATATTTAGAAATTTCGTGTACACTTTGCTACTTTATATCTTCTCCAGCTGATTTGCCAAAACAATAATAAACACAAATATCAATTAAGGTAGGAATCTGATATAAATTATATGATATAAATTATTTAATTATATATATTAAATAATATATAGTGCCGATTTGTTCACTGCATATGAGCATATCGTTATATATTACGAAATTTAACATATAATATAATATTATACCTACATATATAGCAGTTCTTATTACT